ATCCCTCTAGCTACAGTTCCATCGTTCACAGAAGCTCCGATCGACCCAATCAACTCCATGCCAGACTTTCAAATGACAGAGGAACTAAATACTTAATTGAACCACATGGGACATGACTTGAGCTGAACAACATGGAACTAAATACTTAATTGAACCACAGGGAATAGAACTTGTAATCACAGAGAGCTGAACTTTAAATTAACAAATGTACAATCATATTAAAATGCAATGCTAATTAATAATCCTGCTTATCCAAACAAACATCAATGAGCGATGAATGCTACTGCATCCCTCCAATCAATGCTAGCTAGCTTGCAGATGTTTGCAGTAGTCTCCAACGAACACAATGCCAATATGCATGTTGATGTAGCAATTTGCCAATCAGTGTGCATAGGGAGTATAATCGATGAATGCAGCAACTTGCTAACCAATGTGTATGAAGAAATTAGTGGTGAAGACAATTCACCCAACATCCTATAGCAACACACAAACGAACACGTTCACTTGCCTATAAACAACAAAACCTCTTGCAAACATATGTAGTGCAGCACACAATGAATACGAATGCTTCTGGCAATGATGGGAGATTTGTTATATGCACAGTAGTATGCCAACGAGTGATAATCAACAACAAGCAATGAATGCTATGCCACCCTTACAGCCAAAGTATCGAGCAAATGCACTAATCCCCTAAAAGCAAAGGAGGTCACTATGCATTGAATTCAAGCACCTGCGAGCTGCTATAGAAAACTCATCATACATCCAACATGCTACCTACTAGCAAAATGCAGAAGAAATGTAGTGAACTCAAACATCTACGAATTGCACTAAAGATTTACATTCAACGTAGCTCATCCGCATATAATAATAAAAGCCTTGCAATGCATATAGCAGTTCTATCTACAAGTAATGACAATGGATGTATCACAAGAATGGGCTAACCTGCTGAATTTCTTTTTCTAAATTTTACAACAAGCTAACCCAAGAGGGCGAGTCTTACTTATGTTTAGGCCTCGACAGAATTTCTTTTTCTAAATTTTACAACGAGCTAACCCAAGAGGGAAGTCACTCGCACATTCCGCTTCGACGTTTTGAGTTCCCCAAGCATTAGAGTAACTATCATGAATGGGCGAGTCTTACTTATGTTTAGGCCTCGACTCTCGAGGGAGCACGAGTACCCGAGTGTTCTTTGCACATTTATTTTAGATGCATTTATTTTGTTCATGAAGAAC